GGTTTTTGGAAACTTGTGTTTGCAGCTACACCAGTCACTGTATCCACCAAAATGGAATTCTGGACCAAAGATGAACCAAGAAGTGAGTTCTCAGATACCTGTCCATCACCTTTAGGTTTCCTAGCTGCCTGATTTGCCTAAGCAAAAAAGAAAGAAGTGAGAAAATACACAGCTTAGAATACTTAGACAGTCCATTGGAATTTAGCTCTGAGGTGAGGATAAAAGCTGACTCAAAGTTTCACCTCCTCCTGACCCAGCCACAGGAATAAACAGCACATACAATATAAATAAACTTTTCACTTTGGTTCATAGTTCTCCTAGAAGTTCATCTCTTCTTGCCAGACACTGGTACAGGAAAACTTCTTACCCGCCAATTTCGAATTCTCTTGAGCCTGCTGGGTGTTTTCTCCAGTATCTGCAGAAACTCATGAGTTAGCTCTGAATAGAAAAAAAAAAGCCATTTTTACATCTGATTCTGTAATAAACAGGTAAAACTTGAAGCGTTTTTCCTAGTCTGAGTTCATACAGCTTTTACAGTAGTTGCTACAGTCTGTGCAGGATCCGAATTTATATTTTATTAAAAAATGGTTAGGTAAGCATTGAACAAAACAGGCTACGGTGTTTCACTGCAACAGACTTCTGACCACTACAGCATTCTGAAACACAGGTTTGAATTTTACATTTTGTTTTTACTCTTGCACAACCTGGATTTGTTAGACCAAAAATTTCAACAGGGACCTATACAAACAACAGCTCCTAAAATAATATACTTGCCATTCAGCCTGGGCATTTTCTGTATGAAGTTAAGTTTCCTTTAAAATTTCTAAGTCACTGTCTCAGTCATTCCAACAAATTTCAGGAACAACCAGTAACAGCTCCGAACATAATATCACCATCAGACCCTTGGAAGCACCCTGTTGTAAACAACAGCTTTGAAATAACTGTTCAAGGCAGAGCACTTGGCTGTGTTAAAACCCAAAGATCCTTGCAATTAGAAAGAGCAGGTCCCCATGCCTGTCAGCTGCAAATAAAAATACTTTCCACTGAAATTTAATTTTACTCCTAAGCTAAAAATAATTAAGTACAGTCAGAATTTGAATGCAGGTCTGGAAGAATTGGCTTCTCCAGAACTCCACAAACAAATTATAAACTAAGCTGCTCCCAAGTGCACAACTGCCTCAGGCCTTTGGCCTGCCCGAGTCCATCAAACACACCAGCTCCATAAACGCCTGAAGAATAGAGCCAAGTTCACAATGAACTCACAGCATTCCCTTCAAATCCACAAACCCACAGTCAGGTGGGAAGGAAGCAGGGTGGTGTTTGGAACTAGATACAACTTAAAGATGCCCATTAAGACAGAGATGTTTGAACCTGCACTCTGAAGTTCAGCTCTGTGCTTCACATGACATCTACTCAATTTCTCACTTACAAAAAACCCCAAAAATTGCCATTAAGAAAGAAAAGCTCAGCAGAGGAAAGTAGCAGGCCATGGGAAGCCATGCTGAGCCATGGGAAGCCTGGAGACCTCCACCACTACTCCAAATTGCACATTTCACTCCAGGATCAACAAAGTCCACATGGATCTGAAAGCCTCAGGAGCTCCCACTCCCACTCCAGCAGCATATGTGGGTCTTAAATCCAGACTGCTCTGCAACAGGTGCTATTTAAAAAGACAATAAACTCCCAGGTATGTGGAGTTCTGGGTTTTTGCTTTCTTCAGGAAAAGCCTTTTGACAAGAAAAACTATTTTACAGGCATTTGAGATACCACAAGTGATGCCAAATTGTTAATGCAGAACTGCCCTTGTGAACACGGTGGTTTTATGTACAGCCCTATGAACACTGTGACTGAAATGACTGTTCTGCTCCAGTGCAGTACCAGGACTGCAGGAATTTGCACTGGTACATTTCCATCATTCTTGGTTCTGAAAAATATTTAAACCCAAGATTCTGACCTGCACCTACAAAAGGATGCCCCTTCAAACTAAAGGTCTCAAACCCAAGTTTGTCTTCCAAAGTTCTCCCCTTTCCTATCTCTTTCTTTCCCCTGACAATATGGTACATGAAGTCAGTGAGACTTAATTTAGGCTTAAAGCTCTTACTGTATAATATGTTCCCAATCCTTGCATATCTCTTGAATAGTAAACCCTTGAGTTGAGTTTCCAGATGTGAAAGGCAGTATCACTTACCATCTAGCAGTTCTAGAGTAACTGAAGGATCTACATATTCCCACCAGTGTTTCCCATCGGTTGACACTGGAATCTCCCAGTTGGACCACTTGCAGGCCAAGTGAATGCACACACATGCTATCACTGTGGGCTTGTACTGAAGACAGAACGTAGTAAGGTGAAGACTGTTGCACAAATTTCGTAATGAGGAACCAAAGGAAATCAAACATGAAAAACAGAAAACCCAAACAAATCAACCATTAACAGATAGAATGAGGCAACTCGTCAAAGCAACAGCAGTTAAACATTTTGCTAAATAAGTTCATAAGATATCTTACTGCCCTAAGAAAACAAAGGGCAGGGCATTTATCTGGCAGAAAAGTTTAATTTGCTTTGGCTATCAAAAGTCTGATGAACAGTAAATAAATTTAACAGTTATTCTACTGTACTTCAGTACTAAAAAGAAAGTAGTATTATATGGTCAATTAAAACTCCACAGTAAAAAGCATACAGCTGATTCTGCAGTCTCTGAATGAGACAATCAGAAGGTCCCCAGCAGTTCCACAGAACCAGGGGAATTACTGGTGGGCTTGGCTTTCATAGGCCTGGATTTGTGACATTTGTGAACTTGTCTTCAGCTTCCAGCTGGCAGCAGCACAAAATACATTGGCTCAGTTTCACTGCTTTAGCACAACTTAACAGATGCTTAAGTACAGAATCTTGCCCATCAAGGAATCACAAGGATTGATTGATTTATTTTGTACAGTTCTAATAACCAGCAGATATTGCCCAAAAACTAAGTACATGTAATGTAATCCTCTTAAAGCTTCAAGTTGTTTGGCAAGAAGTTGAAGTAATCAAGAAATCAAGAGTGAAGTCTGCTCTCTAGTTCTTTCTGTGACAGGCTATGTATACACAATACCCATCTGAAATCCCAGAACTTACGTTTATCTAAGTACTTAAGTTTTAAAAGGAAGAACATTGGGCTTGTACTAGTCTATCTAAAAAGAAAAAATAAGCCAGCTGATAAGAACTTAGGCCCACTACAGTTTTATAAGTTAAGATTGGATCAATATATTTAAAGTTAAGAGAAAACTGCCATTAACTACAAGTGTAAACTAAAAATAGTTTTGTACTTACCAAGATGCTCGGATTTCTAGGTTAAGTTTATCTCTTTGTAATCTTTAGCTGCTATTCAGGCTACCAATTTTAGATTTATGCACTCACAATCGAGAAAATGTCATCAGAAAGCACCACTACACTTCTCATTGTGCATTTAACCCCTTTGTGCCACGAGGCCCTTGTCCAATACACCGCACTGCAGGCGGGAAGGAACCACCACTGGAGATGGCCCATTCTCCCGCTGCAACAAGGGTAAGACACATGGAGGGGGCCCTGCAGTAAAGGAAGCTATAGTGTGCTACAACAGTGCAACAAAGAGGTTCAGGATAACAACCTGTTGGTAGCCATGAAATAGGATGTCTGTGCCAAATCCTTGCTTGCTGTAAGAAAAGAAAAACAGGGAGATTAAAGATCGGCACAAACTCATCAGGTTCATTCCAAAATTAGAGCAGTTTTTTCTTCCAAAATCACTGCTGGGTATTGCTACAGAACTGATCTGAATCTGGCTAACTAGCCTTCAAAATAATCTTTTCTGAGACACAGAAGAGGCCCTTACATTCGGTACTGGAGCTGGACCAGTCCTTCCATTCACTGCCCCTCCCTCGGTACAACTCATAGAACAGCTTCCCTCTGCTGATCCAACCCCTCTGATGCCTCAAAGATGAGAGCACTCTCCTCTGGGAAGCACTGCTTCCCAACCCTCACCTCTAGGTGATCCCTGCCATTCCCTGGGCTGCAGGACAGATCAGTCACAGCCCATTCACAGCACAGTGCACATCCTGCTCTTGGAGAGGAGCATGGCAGGACACCCCTCCCACCCCCCAAACCTCCCCAAAACCAGAGCAATGTCTCTCTCCCAAAGCCGTACAACACCACAAGTCCCCAAGCTAGAGGGTAAAAAACCCCAAAAAATCAGTTTTCTGCTCCTTCTAATTAAGAGCACTGTGCTCAGAACTTTTTGCTCCACATTTCTTAAACCTACGGCAAAGCTTCAATAGAAAACAAACTTCATTTTAGTTAGTCAGGAAAAAACCAAACCAAAACACAGGACTGCAACATGCCAGAAATGAAAAGCTACTGACTCAGGCTGTTACAGCCACGTAGTGCTGACCCCTGCAGTGACACCCCAACTGCTCACTCAGGTAAGAGAACTTACTGTAACATGCATTAATGGGATAGCTGGGCACAAGGCAGATTGAATGCAGCCTTCATTCAAGTCTTACTTTGACACTATCACTTGAAATCAGTGCTACCTGCAGAGAGTGTAGTGTTGAATTTTATGTCAAAGGGAACATCGTTAAGCTTTTATTTTAATAATAATATTTCCATAAAGTTTGAGAAATACTACAGCAGCTTTTAAATTTTAATTTTTAAATAGCATAATAATAAAATGTGATTTAACTCAACTTCTAATGATTGCCAGGGAGTAAAAATCAGACTTGTCTTTATGCTAAACAGCCAGGCAGTGCCATAATCCCAGAAGAATGTGGAAGTAGCAAGGTAACAGGATCTGTTCCCACACACAAAATCTACTGATCCATAATAATCAGAAGGTGAACTGACAATGTGTTATACTATAATATTTAGTTTGCAAACTATAATGGTAATTGCATACTAAATAACCTCTTCTTCTCCCTCCCAACTAAAGAAATGTAAGGTGGAATTACCAAAAAAAGAAAAAGTGAAATGACACTATCATAAATAAATGAATGAAAACAAATGAAAATACACAGTGGTTCAGTGAGACTCAAATTGATGTCTTGCTCTTCATTTTTCATTAAAGCAATGTCTAAAGGAGCTTCAATGACTTATACACTCTGTAAAGTTACATGTTTGAATTAAGGGACTGGGACCAAGAAGCATCTCTACTGAAATGTCCCTTTTGAACAAGGAAGAAAAGCAGATGCCAGAAAACTTCTATTTAACATCAGCTTGGAAGTTGAGTAAATCAAAACACATACCTGGAAGAAAAGAATCATATCTTGAAACACACATTTTGGCCCCAATCAAAAATTAATGCGCTAAATACCTTACCTATATTACAAGTAGTATGATACTGTTTCAACTTATTTACAGATAAATAACTATCATTTGCAAAACCAACAAGAAATTTCAGCTCACAGCTGAAGCCTTTGATAACACAAGGCACAACTGAAAACATCCCTCCCGAACTCTTCTATTTAGGTCAGCTTTGGTTTAGCAGAATCCATCACAGAAATTAAAGCTAATGAATTTTGGTTCCCATATTTTCATGTTTTACTTCCATTATAGTAGTGAAAAGTGCATCTCCAAATTCCAATCATCTTGAAGCAGAGGCTCAAACAAGCCAGCAGAGCTGCTCTTAAAACTCACAAGCCGCTGGACCGATGGTTACAATACCAGCCAGTAATGACCAGCTTGGGATTTCAGCAGTTCAGAGGGATTTGAAACATCCACCCTGTCCCACTGCTGCAGAAGCAACCATAAGGCAGGGGATCACTGAAGTTGGAATCAATATTTTGGAACAGGACTTGCTGTCCAATACACCTTCCAAAAGGCCGTCTCCAAGAAACTGCCAACTGGAAACCAAAATGCTTTTTACTGGGCAGAGCCACACAATGGTTGCAATTCCAAGATATCTGAGTCTTTTCTTCAACACAGCTTATCTTGGATCTCGGGATACTCATGAAAATGTGACTGCCAAGTCCCCCTTAGGAGGGTGGTAGGTGGCTATGCCTGGACCCTGCACTCGTTTGGAAGCGTTCCCCAGAAAGAGGAGATGGCAGATAAGCCAGTCAGCATCAGGAGAGAGGAGCTTGCTGAAGTCCTTCTGGCCAAAGGAAAAGAGCCCCAGGCTCTGAACAGAGGTCTGCTGGTGGATGCCTGCTGTATCTGGAAAGGGCTGGAGCAGGCCATGGTGTAGGCATTTAGGGCTGAGCAGTCCTGGTGGCTTTACTTTCTTCAAAGTACTAAAACCCTGGGAACAGGCTTGTAAAAGCCTGAGGTCAAAGTTCAGCATGTGAAGGCCACCTGCAGCAGTGCTGGAGTGCAGCTGGGGTTTCAGATCTTTCCACACCACTTAGTACACTAAGACTTAAATTTTCCTCATGTGAATACCCTCTGAAAAAGCTGATGCATTTTCACCTCCTCTTCTGCTGACCTTGTCTTTCTCAGCCTGATTTAAGCAATGGTACCTGTGCATACAGATACTATGGCATATTTGAAGGATTTGACAGTGCAATTTCCACAAAAGATTAGTAAGGATCATGGGTGTTCAAGGTACCTGATAACCTGCAGAGTAGCGAGAACAATCCTAGAAATCCTTGAGATCCCATCTTCAGTTCCAAAAGGTTGTGTTCCAACACAGAAAAAGGAATGACTGAAGACTTCCCAAGATGGAGATGAGGATACAGATTCCTCCCCTTCAAGTTTCACCAGAAGCAGGCTGAGAACAGACTGATTCTGCACCAGAGCTTAAGAGGACCATGTCATAGTCTTGGCATTAGGGCAACTTCACTGCTGATCATTCAGCCAGCACTGAAGCCAGCAAGGGAGACAGACAACAAAACTGGTTTTGTTGTTTTAGTGGGGTTTTTTCCTCTTTTCTTCTCTTCAGTACTGGAGAATTCTTGGAATGGGCACTGAGGCTTGCTGACAGGCCCTCACACATCCACTGTCTTCAGATTCCTTAAAGGACCTGTGGGATCCTAAGGAATGATGGTCCTGTCTCCTCTTCTCAGTCTCTTGACACTGAGGAAGAATGGTGCAGAAAAAAGACTAAGCCCACACCATTTTCCTTGTCTGCTCTACTGACCAAACTGTAAAGGTGGAACAGTTTCATTAACCCAGGAGTCTCTGAACACCAGAAGGAATAACTGGATACCATATGCCTGAACATCATGAGTCATTATGTATCCATCCAGTATCCATCCAGTCACTTCTTATCTACAATGACCCCTGCTGTCTAACACTGCCTTCAAAAAGGCTTTCAATCTTAGAGAAGAATTCAACCTTTTCTTTAGTTGTGTGTTGAAGCAATTATGTTTATTTGCACCTATTCCCACTTCCTAGTTCATCTTCAGCTTCCAGCAATTACCTCTGGTGTGCCACTACCAGACTAGAGAGTCTTCTGACAAAGGACTTGGCTGAACCTTTTGAGCATGAACAACAGAATCTGGGTTCTATTTTAATGTTTTTCATTTTGTTTTTAAAAGGGAGAAGCTTAAAGGTTAATACAGGTAACAGTGACAGCATAAAACACACTACCCTGGATGCAAGACAACAAAAAGTGATACAGAGAATCAGCCATCCTCTGAGGCACTGCAGTTTGGGCAGCAAAAGGGCACCTTCTCACCACATGGCAATGCAGTGCACACACCCCAAGCCCATTCCCATACCTCAGCTAACTTTGCTGCCTCTGTTTTGATAAACAGAGGCACATCAGCCACATCACATTCCTCCCTCCCTTCTCTCCCCAAACATGCAGTTGGAGGTTTTAATCACAATGGTCTTGGGGAAATTAATCACCTTTAATAAAAAGGGGTATCTCTGCACTCTGAAATGGTGCTTTTTGTCCAAGGTGACGTTACCAGAACTAACCTTGGACAAGGAAGAAGTAACCTTGGCTTTCTTTAACTTCTCAGTCAATCCCTTTGGCACTAACGGTTTAACATTGACAAGTCTTAGGTATTGAAAGCTTCAGGACTTAAATACCTGAGTGTTGCATCTACTGACATTAAAACCCCACACTGCCCAATAATAACTATCTCGTGGATAGAGAACTAAACTCACACCACTGTGTCTTTGAAGATACATCACTGTGCCCACAAGCCCATCTCTGTTCTGTCAATACATAAGAGAAAGCAATTATTCTGTCCTTGCCTGACTTGCATGCCTGACTACAGACTTCATGCTTGATGTTTTAAATTAATTTATTCATTTGCTTCCTTTTTTTTTTTTTAAATATTAGGTCCTCAAGCCTTGTGTTCTCAACCTACACCATTCAAAGGAAGGGCATGTGCTGCCAAGGATTCCACTTGCATACACACACACACTAAGGAGCACAGCTACTTCAGTGAGTAGGTTTTCAAGGATCAGACAAATTACATTCCCTTTGCACCACTCCTTTAGGCACAGGGACTTTCAGCCCTCACTGAAGTCTTCAGATTTCAAGACTTGATATAATTTTAGAATTCTAAGCATTTTTTTCAAGTTTGCTGACATTAATTACTAGCTTTACTATGTCAAATTAAAAAATTAGCAGTACCTTCAAAGTATGAATTTTGTCAGTATAAAAGATTAGCACAAAACACAAAGAGAAGAGCTGAACTATCAGAGTGGTATCTATCCTTGACTAAAGGAAACACAGTTTGTGTAGGCGTGTGCCTTCCTTCTTGTAGGCTCCAGTCAAACACACTCACTAATGTGGAAATCTGAGGCAGGACAACATTGCCTTCACCCCTGCTCATACCCCACACACTGAGCAGAAGCACAGGGGCTCCCACAAAACACTGAAATGTGCCCACATTTATGCTGACCAAGAAAACCCAAAGCCAAACCCTACAGAGCTGCTGATGCAGCTTTAGGTGTAATGACACCCATGCACCAAGTCACAGCCAAATCTGGACAGAAAGCAGAGAATCATTATCTTATAGCAAGAATAGCAATAAAGGTACTTTATATGCAAATAAATTACAGCACCAGCCCTGCTCAGACTCTGAAGACACTGCACCACTAAGTTACTTGAAAATAGGAGATACTCTCCCTTCAAAGAACACCATTAATTCCAGAGTTACAAACAAACCTAGTTAACATTATTAAGTTGTAACTAACTTTTGTATATTTTATAGAAGGAAAAAAAAAAACACCAAAAACTTTGGAGCACTTAACTTTGCATTTTTCACTGCAAAACCAGCCAAGGACTAAACACTAAAAGCCATGGTCTAATAATTTCCAAACACTTTTTACTTAAGGAACATAATTGAAGTGAAAAGCTTATTTTAGGTGTTTTTACAACTGATTCCTGATTTTTTTTCATCCTCCATCTTATGAGAGGATTTTTAATTTTTTTTTTTTTAAGGCTCCAAAGGAAACCAATTTAAGAATTAAAGATGGTGTGCCGAAAAGCCACAAAAATATTAAAGAACAAAACAGGTTTCTTGCCAGTCACATTAAGCTGCATACAAGTTAGATATGTTTAACCAAAGGTTTGGGGTTTTGTGCTACCATCCAAAACAAGTACACCAGGCTCCAGAAAAACAATTAGTCACATTTCTAAGTATTTGCATGTGACAGCAGACTTGCCGTGCACTCTCTTTACCCCTCAGTTCATTACCTAAAAAGATTCCCTAAGACAAAAAAACTACCATCAGCCAACAGCCAACAGGCAGCCTAAACTTCACTTGGTAGAACCACTTCAGAGTGAAAATAATCAGCTCAGAACAATAGTAAGCACCTGGCCAACCACTTCTCAACTACTGACTGCTTCTGTCCCTTGAGAACACATGGAACAGGTATTGTTAAAATCAAATCTTACAAGAAGACAAAAAAGTTATGAAGGATAGAGGACTGGACTCTTTATCTTAATCTCTAAAGGTTAAGATCAAGCTTTTAGTAACTAGCTTTAAACATACTCTTTGGATAACACAGTTGGTGAAGATCACATTACACAAATAACATCACTTTAAAATTTTACTAGAAAAGTAAAAAAGGACTTACAGAAGTGGTTAAAAGTCACTGACCTCTCACTAACTGTGTACATTTCACAACATCTGTGTGTGGATGTTCAATGGTAATCTCAAAACCTGAAGAGTTACAAATACATTTTAGAATTATACATTTGCATCTGTAAAATGAAAACCCAAACCCCTTATGCTTCCCCACAGACCTAAAATACTTACTAAACCTTTGTACTGCAGAACAAGTACCAGGATTTAACTGCCTTTGATTCTGCACCTTTTCATACTTTTGAATGGCAGATGGTATAGCTACTTCATGATCCATTAGGAAAATAACTCAATGCCTGTATATATATATATATATATATATATATATATACGTACATAACCTGGGAAATTACTGTATTTTTAAGGTTGAACATATCTGAATAGTTTCTAGCACATTAATAAATCAGTAAAAACTGCAATGCAGATGTGTGGTTGTGCACATGCACTTTATTGATTTCTAGGACTTAAAACCATTTGCAGCTAAGAAATTACAAATTAAGTCAATTTGTAGGTTAGTAACTTAGAAAACCCTTCTTTGTTTATGAAACTATCTTAAGAATTAGGTCACTACTGTGAGCTATTTTTTAAAAAACAATATACTCCAAGTGGCATTTAAGAATATCTGAGCAAGTCTGTGTTCTCAGGTCTGCTAGCAGGAATTGTCTCTAAGGTATTCTAAAGTCAGAAGAATTTCTTAGCAGAACATTCCATTTCAAATTTGGGAATCATCTGAACCATTAAATGGGTTGTTTCAGGATTAACACACTGCTAACCCAGAGTAATGTGTTACCTTACACAAAGAAATATTAATGTAATCACTTCTTCAGAGTAAAATCTACTTGGAAGTCTACACATTTCTAACTCAAACTGTCAGAAAAATCTATTTCCTAAGTACAGATGCCCCTTTTTTTCTCCAAAGTGAACACAGCAGAACTGCTGACACAAAACTAAATTCACAGGTCAGAAGTTATACACGAAAACAGTAAAATTCTAGTGTATCAAGAACACATCAAAAATCCAGTTACTCGGATCCCATTACTCCTTCATAGTAAGTTGGCTGCACAGGAGATATTTAGGACATACCTAAAGTTTGAAGCATTATTGTTTCAAGTATAACCAGCTCTTGGGCTTGTTGAAGGTAAGCCTGAAACAGAGAAGCAAACAGGTGAAGAGCAGCAATCCCTTGTTTGAGAATTTTAATCACACGCTGCCTGTTTGAACACCGGTACTGGCAACACCAGAGCAGTCAGTTAGAACTGACAATTCACAACAGGGTGAGAATTACAAAGGCTTCCCAGTGCAAGTCAACTTGAGTATCTCTGGGCAGGTTATTCATCTTACAAGTACTTTAAAAATACAGCTGGAGATGCTCAGCTGGCCTGTGGCTCAGGAAAGATAATGTGAACTCTAAAGTGGAAGCTGTACAAACTTTGGCAAATGAAAGGAGTAGCAATGCACAGCAGAGGCAGCAGCTGACAACTATATCACATGTAGCCAAGAGGGCACAGTGAACCTCTGCCTGAGAGACAGTGTCCTGAACTCAGAGCTCTGCACAAACTGTGTCACTCAGGGAACCACGTATGAAACCTCTTATTTAAACATCCAATCTTCTACTCTACATGTGGAAGCCCTAAAAATAATGCAATTTCAAGATGGAGCAATCTCTTCAAGTTTCACAACAAATACCAGTCTTTAATTATGCTGCATTAAGTAATACAAAAGACTTCAATGGTGTACAAACAAAAGGCTTTTTCCTAGACTGCAGACAGCAATAATCCAGTGAGACAGTGTCACAGATCATAAGATGAAGTGTCATCTGATCATCTTTAAAACCATGACTTCCACCTACATCACTCTTTGTATCCAGTTGTGGCTCTTGAGGATGAAGACAGGCATTTGCTACTTTAATAACATGTTCAAGTTTCCGTGGCTGTTCTTCCACTTTTGCAGCCAAAAACAATGCCGTAGGAGACATTATCTGAAGAAGAAAAACACATCAGTACTTTTTAACTTTTTACAAGCAGGACTTGAGTTTTTATGGAGAGTCTAAACTAATAAATAGAAAAAGTTTAAGAAGTTGGATTTGTGGCTTTTTTTCCCCAGTTTTGAAGTCATGCAAGGCAACAAAAATATAACTAGTCATGTTTTATTTTATAACTGATGTAATCCTCCCAGCAGCACAGGGAAGGAGCAGCAAAAAGCTAAATTACATTTGTGAGTAAGAAGTTTGAGGTCAAACTAATTCTAGTTCAACATAAAAAAAAATAATTTGGTCCAGAAGAGTTAGTCACACAAGAACAGCCTGTTTCAAGTTAAATATACTTTGTGAGAAAGTTCATCCAATTTCTTGCACAGAGCAAGTCATTACACCATCTTTTCAGTAAAAGTCAAAACAGCTGATCACAAGTTCTGCCAGCATTTGATTCTCCTAAAGACTGAGAAACTTTGCACAGAACTTTAATAAAAACAGCTTGTTATATAAACACAGGTTGTGTAAGTAAAAGAAACTTTATATATACGTATGTTTCTTAGAAACTTTACTGTACATCCAGCAGTATCTGAAGAATGAAGCACAAGGATTCATAAAACATCAGTTATATCAAATGTTAGTAAAGAGTACATGTTACATTTTAAGATGAATTTTATATAAAACTCTAGGTGTCATAAGCTGGCAGCAAAGCTCCCATTGGCAGTTCAGTATCACCCAGGAGAGAGCTATGAAGTAGTTTTGATGCCTGTTGTCAGCTACAAGGACAGATGTGTGCAGACACAGAACACAGCAAACCACAAAAGACTGAAGAATTAGGTCCTTTTTGTATGCAAAAGTTGCCCATGTTAAAGAGGAATTAAAATGGCAGTAGAAATCATCTAGACATGAGCTGATTAAAATGGTTAAAATTAAGCCAGTATAAAGCATTTATTCAGAGACTGAAGCAGTTGCTTGCTGAGTATTTAATTACTGCATGGTGCAAGTAGTGCAGGTATTGGATTTCTCATTCAGTGCCCAAACAGAACTAGACTGACTAAGAGGCATCCTCTCCCAAAGTCAGCTTTGCCTTCTTTTTATCAGCACACAGCCCTTTGTTATCATGAAATGAAGCATTTGGCATAAAGATTTGCAATATATGGAAAACTGCAACAAACTGATTAAGGGATTAAATTTTAGAACCTTTCAAATGTATTGAGGGAGTACTTTTTGCATCCTTAAATCACTTTGAAATGCCTGCTTGGATCTTAAGAAAAACTTTAAAGTTGGCAGACTTGAAAACTGACACCCTGGGAAGGAGATACCCTTTGATGAGTAGAAGTGTGCCATGAGAAATCCAGCACTCTGAAAAACCCAACCCACCCAAAACAAGTCAGAGGGAACAAATTCTTCTATAAGGGAGAAAAAAACCCTGTTTTCTTTTTAAGAAGCTTGTAACTTGAGCCTCACAAATGAATAAATGATGGAAAGGCTTTCTGGAGTTGAGAGAGGGAGAGTAGCAACAGCTCTGAAGTGCAGAAGATGTGCAGCAGCACACACATGTATAACCCAACACACATGGCATGGAAAAGTATTTTATAGAGCAGACAAACTCCAGCCCAGGGATGCAACAACCCAGGCAAAGCTCTCTCAAGTGCAGCTGTCTCACTCATATAAGCCCAGGTCTCTTCCTGTACAGTTTGTGGGTATAGTTATTCATATGTGGAATTGTCACAATTTACCTTTCTGAAAAATCCACCTCCAACAATCTCCATGGCTGAAAACATCTCCATCTCCCAGAGGCATTTCTGAACCAAGTCACCACTGACCACACAGTTGAATCATTGGCAAATTGTCACTCACTGTTACTCTGTGTCTGACTGCACCAAGGTTCTACTTCATTCCAAAAAAAGCACCTTCATCAGCCTGACTTCAGGAGATCTTCTAGTTTACTGAAATGGATCCCTTCTGGCCAAGAAGTCTCCACACAACTCCTGATCTCCAAGACCTTACATAAAACACAGTTCTGGAGGCTAATTAAGTTAAGCTGATTAACTGTCATTTAACTTTGGTTCATCAGAAATCTTTGTACAGCCCAATTATCTATTTCCTTCAAAAAGAAGTGCTGGCTTCTGGCCAAAGAGTTCAGATTTTTCTCTTGTTTAGGACAAGGGTTCTCACTCCCAGTTTTGAGTAGGTCAGTATTTTTATCTTCCTTGGTATTTATTCAGAAAATAGACATCCTAATAAAATTTCAGACTTGGCACACATGCAGTCTCCAGTGAAGACGACACACCCTGCTAAGTGTATAACTAGCAAAGTTACTTCAATGCTTTCATTCATTTCCAATTCCCAAAAATGGCCAAAAAAAAGCAAAGTAGAACAAAAAGGCAAAATCAGAGACACATATTTGACAAAGCGATAAGCTTCCTATATATAAACATCTTAATTTGACATCATCCAAAATAATTTAAAGTAATTTTCTACCATGTACCCAAAATAGTCTTTAGGACTTGGAGAAATATCTTCAGAAGAGACATGATTTATGAAATTAAATCCAATTTTTTACTAGCTGAGAACCCCAGAAACCAAGTCCCACTGAAAGAGAAAAAAAATCCCAAAACATAAGGGCCTTGTTAAGACAATCCAAGAGCACTAAACAGCAAGTTTCATTGGTAAATGTGCTGTAAGTCCTTTTTCACTTACAAAATACAAGACATAGTGTAAAAACAAAGGCATTCAGAAAAATCTCAGAATACACACGTAGCATGCACATAGTTTTCTGAGATTCCCTCTCCCTTTTAATGCCAATATTAGTATGTTTTTAGATTTGATACAATTTAGCTTAAGACATTAAAAGTGGTTCCAGTCTATGAGAGGGTTTTCAAGGTCGAACACAAAGAGCTGCAGGGATTTTTTTTTTTATTATAAGCAGGAGCTTGCATTGCTTAAAAGCAGCAAATATGTTAAATTGCAAGATTAAAACCAGAACTGAAGGATCCAAAACAGCCTCACTAAAGCCTGAAGTGTATTATGAAAGT